GGGGGCCTGTCGATCAAATCGTGTCGCGAAGGGAGGTGGCGATTGAGGACGCCAGATCAAAGAGTTTATTGCGCGTGGGCGATTGTCAGGGCTACAGGCGGAAGTCCCGCCCAAACCTTAGCATCATGGTTCGTGCGCCATGCTGCGGAATTTGTGAACGGGAGGGGTCCCGGCAGAAGGTGGTTTACTCCAACGACCCACGGTTTCAAAGCATCTGCCTCTCTTTGACCTAATTGTCTGCCTGTACCGGCACAATAGTCAACGAGAGGTTCGCATCAGACGTCGGCATTGGTGGCGCCGTCGCCCATGTAAAAGTCGAGCTCCCCCGGCGTCAGGCGGTGGCAGTCACAAGATCACCAGGGGCTCCTGGATTTGGCGGGGTAGCATTGGGCGAAGGTGGTACCGAAAATGTGGAAGGTGAAATGCAGGCAACTCTGCCTGGAACGTGGATTGTGTTGTGCACTAGGCTGAAAGCCTGTGCAGGGCACAGGCCCGGGAGGGCTAAATGGGCCTGGTAGGGCACGTGCATTGGGCACGGGCCTACCTCCGACAGAAAAGCATGCTGCACACGGGCCACCCTGTGCCTCGCACCACTAGATAGCGGATCTCCGACGTGGCCCGCCAGGCCACAACGGAGATCCGGATCACGATCGTTTCACCTCTCTAGTGTGCACCTAAGTGCCAGGTGACCGTCCCTCTGCCACGGGCAGAGGCCTACCATTGCCTTTACGGGACTCGATAATAAAAGTTGCAACCACCGGTTTCGCCGAAAACCTTGTCGCCACGTACGCTTCGGGCTGCCCGGGGCTGCGCCAGCGAAACGCTTCAGTCCACCGATTCCATCTTGGTTATAAAATTAGAAAATTCTCCCGTGCCTATAGGAGGCCATAGCAGCGATGCCAAGGCCTTACCGCCCGTAAAGGTTGCTAGTTGTCGTTTTATCGTGGTTTAAAAGGCGCTTGCATGGCGCCAATAGCTGGCTCACCTAGCTTTCGAAGTCATGATTTCTTGCTGCCTAATTGCCGCCCGATTTGTCAACGTGCTTATCGCAGCGTGAACGTTAAGTAGTTAAATCTCCCGCCGGCCAAGCGAACAACTAACGTAGCCGATGTATACCAGGGCCTCTCCCTCCCACGTTGCGATTCTTGAAGACAGGATTCTTCTTCTCTTCATCCTGTCTTCACTTCAGGTAGCTGCCCAGTACAGTTGGTCACAGAAGTTCAATAAGAAGACAGCCAATTCATTTGGACAGAACACATGGACCTTGTGCATCTGTGATCAATTGCTACAGCGTTGAGATCTGCCACGGCTTGCTCTGGAAGCAGTTTCTCACGATAGCAAGAGGGATCACTGCGTCGGGAACAGACGCCAGGCTCGCGGGCCCAAAAGACCACCCCGGTGGCACAACAGCGACGTCCGCCATATCGACGTCAGTGCTAACGCGGGACTCAGGAAGCTAGAGGGAGCATCCGTGGAAAGGCAGCTGTCGTGGGACACGCCAGACCTAGGACCCCTAGCGAGTGGTCAGAATAATGCGGTAATTCTGTAACCACGACTGAGACCGAGCTCAGAGACGAGCCCCTTGGTGCAAAAAGGTTGAACCTGCAAGGCTACGGCCGCGGGGCTCTCACCACACCTGGGACGAGACTGAGCAACGGGTTACGTGGAACCTAAAACAATACCACGCAGCGCTGAGAGGGAAGACAAGACCCTGAAGCACCCAAGAAGTCACCCCATGGACCCAGCACAGACAAGGAGACAGGTCGACAAAGTACTGGCCAAGCTCGAAGCCACAGTACAAGAGCTCCTCAGAACCAGGAGCGCCACGTACGACGAAGACGAGCTGCAAGACAGTCTCCTCCACGCACACGACAGGGCGAAAGAAGACCTAGAAACTCTAGAGAACCTCAGACACCAACAGATCCGAAGGTGCACACCCAAGGCACCCGAACTAGCACCACCATCCACGCCAGTCAGCCCCCGCATCAGGATAAAGAACCCCCGGGTCACGGAACAAGGTTGTGAGCACTACTGCCACACGGCCCGAACACCCATCGTGTCAAGGTGCCCCATATGCGAACAAGACCCCAGGGTGACAAGACGGCAGTAAAATGGAACTCAGCCGACTCGAAAAAACCCTCGATAACCTAGGAAAGGAAATCACCAAGTACGACAGAAGCACCACCAGCAGACTCACGGACTACGTGAACGTCAAAGCGTCAGTCATCAAGGACGTTCATTTTGGAAAAGCCCGTACTTATGCCTACTCTTTATGCTATGCTTTATACTATAAAGGCTATTGCGCGTCCTAATTATCACCCACCTACCTACCTACCTGCCTGCCTGCCTGCCTGCCATCATTCTTTGCAAACATCCAACATGTGGCTTTCTCGTTTCGCCGCCAGGTTCAGCCCTCGAAAGTCTGCCACCGAACCACCGGCAAGATCTCAACAAACTTTTGCCACACAGCAATATCCTCACGCTGCCGAACATCAAAATTCGGATAAAAGCAAACAACTAGCACCGATCGATGCCGAACAAGCCCCTGTCATCCAAAAGGTCTATAGCGCTGTAACCAACACGGGTAAAAGGGAACAACCATCTTCGACTAAACCCGGACGATCCATGTCCCCTAGCGAGATCCTTATGCTACCGAACGTGGATAAAGGCAAGCAATCATTATCAACCAACCCTGGACAAGCCCGCATCCTCCAGTCAAGTCCTAACACAGTCGAGGATGTGGATAAAGGAAAGGAGCCGTTTTTAATCGACCATCAACAAAATGCCCACGCTGCCGAAATTATGAATAAAGGCAAGCAAACATCGCCGGTCGATCTCGAAAAGGCCTTTCCTGCCCAGCAAAGCACCACAGCCGCCGAAGCCATGGACACACAAACTATCGATGTTATGAAGCCCCAAATCCCCAAACCCATCGACAAAGGCAAGCAACGCATGTCGGGCTCGCTATACTCGTCACTTTCCAAAAACCCGCACGAGATCCGCGTCCTGGAGATTATCGATACCACGGGAGAAAAGCTGGAATGCCAGATGCATACCGTCGTGCTCGGTGCAAACTTAAAGTTCTCTGCCTTGTCTTACGTCTGGGGCGACCCCACGGACCCCCACAACCAGGTTGTCATCATCGTCAACGGCAGGGACAAAGTGGTCACAAGGTCGCTTGAATCTGCACTCCGGCACGCTGGCAACGCCTGGAAGCGCGAGTTCCCGAGAAGGCCGCTATCCTCATTCAGGCTCTGGGCAGATGCCGTCTGCATTAACCAGGACGACAGCCTTGAAAGGAACCACCAGGCCGGGCTCATGGCGAGCATCTATTCCCAAGCCGACGTGGTATTGGCGTGGCTTGGACTTGATCCGAATGGTGTCATTCACTTGGCGTTTGAATCATTGCGCAAGGTTTGGAATGCCATCCGCAGACAAGACCAGCTGCCTGGAACTGCTGAAGAGGCTTTCAACCTGCTGCGAGATCAGACTGCACTCTACGGGAATCCTGGACCCGGCGAAGAGAGAGCTCCGATCGTGACAGCTAGGTGGGAAGCCGTTTCCCACTTTCACGACCTCCCCAACTGGATGCGCGTCTGGACATGCCAAGAATTTGTTTTGGCAAGGCGGTTGGTCATGTACACACCATCAGTCTCTGGGGACATCGAGGCTATCGGACGTGCCGACCGGGTTTTATTACTCGCCTTTAGCCACATTCTCAACGGGACTGTTGTGGACACGGACATACCCATCATCGTCCGCGCCCTACCGCAATCATTTAGCCCAAGCAAGAACTTCTTGGAGCTTTTTATGACGCGCGCATTTCACAAACTGCCGTCATACACCGAAGACCTCTCAAGAATTGGGTTCGGGCTTAACGCAACTGACCGCCGCGACCACGTCTTTGGCATGCTGAGCGTATCTAATTTGGATATGCAAGTGGATTACACCAAATCCTTCCGACGGGTGCAAATTGAATATGTGGCTGCACTCCTTCGATCTCAAAAATTCGGGGGAGCTGCGTTGCTTGCTATCTTTCGCCGGGCGGCTCCGCGCATTGCTTCCCTCGAAGGGGCGCCATCATGGGTCCCATTTCCTGAATCCGACGGTGTGGGAACTCCACCCATCAGAAATTATGGCACTGATACACACATCCGATTCACTAAAAAGAGCGGGAATCACTTCGTCAATAATCAAACTCTATGCCTACCGGGCACACAACTGGGCATTGTGCAAAACGTTTGGGACTTCGGCAAGCAGCGCCCACAGGGCCGAATTTCCCCCGACTGGCTCCGAGTCGCCCTCCGAGCCAAGCTTGCTCAGGGACCGATGGATGCACACACTCTTCGGATAATCGTGCTGCTGTTCTTCAAACCGCATGAGATCTCTAAAGGCATGTATGCCATCATTGCCATCTACATGCTCATTATGATCGTCGGATATGATGACGACGACACGATCCACCCCGATGCTCTTAATTTGAGAGGGCGGCTCGCATCTTTTGGACTAGGGCTAGGCCCGGAAAGCTTCATGGAGTCATTTTGCAAGATGTTTGGTGTTTCTGTCTCCGATCCGAGATCCAGCCTCGCGAGGAGATACGTGGACGGCTACTGGGGTGATGGGAAGGCAACATGGAACTCGATAAACGGCCATGAGAGCGGAGCCGTTAGTCCGAGTCTACAGGGTTGGGAGTTTTACAAACCCGCTGAGATGGAGGGTGGCAAGTTTGGCAGGCGACTGATCGCGGTGTCAATAGACACCGAGGTGGGGGATTCAATCTGCGCCTTCCCTGGAAGTTCACAGCCGTATGTTTTACGGAGGCACTCTCAGGAGGAGTGGCAGCTGGTTGGGCCATGCGGAATTGCAGAGATTCGGAAAGGAATATTTGTGGACAAAATGAAACTCCCAGCGAGGACCAAGGTTGAAACCTTTCAAATAGTGTAACGGATGGTTGGGAATATAAGTCAGTGCACCCCCTGTTGGCCACCCCCCCCTGTTGGCCACCCCCCCCCTGTTGGCCACCCCGCCCGCGATCCGATCGCCACCCAACCTGCTCCATTCAACTGCAAATTTGCCCCCTTGCCTCTGCAATGTGCCGGATATTCACAAAGGCCTCGTTGGGATCCGGTGCCACCCGCCTTTTTTTGCGAGGCCGCTGTGCCTCCAATTCGGCCTCTAACTGCCTAATTTTTTGCTGGGCGGCAGTGAGATCGTATTCGCGCATACCGTAAGCTTTTCGGACCTTTCGGAAGAATAGTCGGACCGTAGGGCTTGCCGGAATCCGGGCTTGGAAAGCGCTGATCTGGGGGGTTAACTCACGACTTTGTTTGGGAGTTTCCCAGGGCACTTGGGACATCCGGGAAAGGACGTTTGAACGTTGTTTAGCCCTGTGATTTTTTGCAGATTGTTGAATTCGGGATCGTCGGTCGTTTTGTTACGAGTTTTCTAGGAGAAGCCGGTGCCCAAGGGGTTTTCGGATATTCCGGGGCCAAAGGCCCGATGCCCGCCACCCCGATATAATTATAAAAGGGGTAAGGGCTTGTGATTTTGCAGAGGCATAGGCCTGTAGGAAATGCCTTTTTCCGATCACAGTTAAGCAGGTAAATAAAGCTTGGGAGCCGGTTATTTTGCGGTGGGCGTGTTTGAAAGGGCTGAAAACGGATAGATCGAGGGGTTATAGTACGTGGGAGGTATGAGGGGGTAAATAAAGGATATAAACGTCGTTCCGGAGGCAAAAATACATAAACTTTTTGGTTATATGGGATCCGTGCCCGTCGAGGATTAGTAAACGGGGTTAAGGGGGGTCCGGCCGGGTAGCCGGAAAAAAGACCTTTTGCAGCCATTCGACGGCCGTGCGGTCAGTAGTCCACCCGTTGTCCGTTGCAGTGAATTCCCAGCCTTTGAAATGGCTTAGGGCCTCCGGAAACCACTGCTCTTGCACGTATTTTCCTTTAAAAATAATAAGGGGAGGAAGTGATACCCTAGTGGCCGAAATGCACTCGATAAACGAGGTTCAAGTGCGTGTACCAGGCTCTTTTCTTTGTAAAAGCCGGGCCTTTGCAAGGCCCAAAACAAGCCCGTTGCCGGTCTTCCCCTCCTGTAGGCCGCCCTCGTCCGCGTTATACGTATTTTCCGGTTTGATCCCGGCCACCTCTGGGATTTGCAGGCGCTCCCACCATTGCCTTATTGTTGCAGTAGTAGCCCCTTTAACACGTGCAGATTTTATGCGCCGGCCTCTTCCAAAACGGATTTCCGGATATCGGTTTAAAAAGCCACGAATCCAGTGCTTCCCGAGGGGCCGGGAGTCGCCCCTGTGCCGGAAAATCTTTTGTGCAAAAAACCGGACTTCTGCGTGCGTTGGTGGGAGCCCTAAAGAAGCCTGTAGTAAAATCCAGTTAGCCAAGCGCTTTTCCTGCTCCGGGGCTACACGCTGATATAGTTCTTGTGCCTATCGGATAGGTAGGCGGCCCGCAAGGCGGTGCCGAAGGGTCGACCTCGGGATGCCAAAGTGGCGGGCGGCGTAGGCGATTGGGACCTTATCCTGTACAGCGGCAACGGCCTGCTCGATCTCCTTTTCGGTATACGGTTTCTCCCGCATCTCGCCGTTAGATTGCAGCAAAAAGTAAGGAAACCGGATTAGAATTGATGGAATGCGGGAGGGTTGAAGTACTCGAGAAGATTCCAGGCCGTGGGCCACCTGGCCCGTGATCCGATTAATATCAAACCTGCTCCATTCAACTGCAAATTTCTACCTTTATTCAAGCAACCTCGATGCAAGATAAAGCCAACTCCTGATCAGAATTTTCCGTGCTTTTAAACGCTGTATTCATTACCTCCTTAACGTTACCCCTCGCCTCTGCAACGCGGCGGATATCCATAAAAGTTTCGTTAGGATCCGTAGCCACCTTTTTTTTTGCGAAGCCGCTGTGCCTTTAATTGGGCCTCCAATTGCTTGATTTTTTAATAGGCTGTAGTGTTACGGCACAGCTGCTAGGTATTAGGTTGATGATTTGTTGTTGCACGAAAAAGGAGAAGTCCGTTAGCCCGCAGGGGCTTGGCGTGTATTGGTTAAATACAGGTGAGCGGGCGTGGTCCTGTAACAATACCTTCCCTTAAAACCGCAATTAGTCCTTTAATTGCTAATTAATGCTAAATTACCTTTTGTTATTTTTTATTTATTACGTAGCGTTATGTTGCTAGCATTGCGCTGATAGTTACGTTACGTGTTTGTACGTTATTATTAATAATAAAACGTTTTTTCCTAATTAAAAAATTGCTATTTCCTTAAAGGCTTTTATGTGCTTCCGCTTTCGTTGCTTATTTTTATCCCCTTTTTTTCGCTTTTTATCCTAATATCCCCGCTTTTTTTTCCTCGATATATTACTTGCTAATGTTATTATTTTAACGTTAATTTTTTTTTATTTTTTTTACGCATTTTTGTTTTATCGCCGTTAAATCGCTATCCCGTTTTTTTTAATTACCTTGTTATTATTATTGTAATAATAACACCCATTTTTAATAAGTCCGGCAACGTTTAAAAGGCTCCCTTCCGTTGCTTGTTTTATATTAAATGCTTGCGTGCGGATATTAAAACGTGTGACGGCCCAGGGCAGTTCACCGCACAGCGCAGGGATCCACGTGAGCACGCGCCGCGGAACAGCCCGTGCGACAAGACGCCGCACTACCTTTTCTTCTGCATCGCGTGTTCGGCGCTCCGCGCCTCTTTCCCTTTTCCCTCCCCATAGAAGAGTCTTTCGTCCATAGCATCAATTGAACCTGGCTGCGAAGCCTACTCGCCCTGATCGTGACACATTCGATATCCTTCGTTGTTTTTTAATCCATTTTGCCGTTACATTTCTTACGTTTCAGCATACCAGGTGACCAGTACACCCTGTTCAGAACCAGCGCTTGACTAAGCCACCAAAGTGCGCCATCCTAACCTCGTTACGGTAAGATCTGAACGCACGCAAACGCAGCAAACTTAGATTTTAGGCATCTAATTCCAGCGCTTCCAAATTCCAGGTCAAAGTTTCGTTCCTCAAGGCTCTTTTGGGCGAACCGCTTGCGGTTTGCGTCTCCCGTGCCGAAAAAGGCTGACCTGAGGAGTACCCACAGTAACGGGTGGGATTCCACCAGTCAATGTGGATTTCATAAATGATTCTCATTGGCTTAACAGGAGACGCAAACCGCAAGCGGCTTGCCAAAAGAGCCTTGAGGAACGAAATTTGAATATGGAATTTCATTCCAGGAAACGCCGGGGCCATTCGCATGCGTAAACAGATATATTGTATTTGCAAGATTTGTACATGGAAGTTCGCGAAGTTTCGGTAGCAGGTTTAGAGTTTGGTGAGTGCGTGGTGGCTTACCCCACCATCTAACATGGGCAAGCTGAATTTTTTTCACGAGTCCCAAGTCGAATTTTGATTGGTCGGGTCACGTGATTTAAGGTGAAGGGGGTTCGGCGGGCCCCTCTTTCGCGCGTCCTCTAAGAGCCTTTTGTTCCTCAAGGCACAGGAGACGCAAACCGCAAGCGGTTCGCCCAAAGGAGCCTTGAGGAACGAAACGAAACTTGGATCCGGCAATTTGGAAGCACTGGAATTAGATAGATGCCCAAAATCTAAGTTTGCTGCGTTTGCACGCGTTCGGATGTTACCGCACCAAGGTTGGGATGGCGCGCTTTGGTGGCTTACTCTAGCGTCTGTTCTGAACAGGGTGCACTGGTCACCTGGG